CCCCCCCCCCAAAAAAAAAAAAAAAAAAAAAGGATACAAAAACTAACGTTTCATTTGCCAGCAGGCTAAGGAGCGAGGCTGGCAAGCATCCTTTAAACGATAATTAAAAAGAAGGATAGAAAGAGCTCATTAAGAATTCCAAAACGTCCCCGCCTGTAAATTTTCATTTATTTTGGTCTGTTGCTATTAGCATGCTTTTATAAATGCAGCTTTGAAGTTCTGTCTGGTTTACAGTTTAAACAGGGAGTTACCAGGGCAATTGGGCGCCTAGACCCCAAGCCTCTGGCTCAGTTCCCTCATACAGTGGCCGCAGCCCTGACTTCTGTTCCTAGAACATAGAAACCCGCCAGCATCTCAGTCTTTAGGCAGAAAGATACTCAACAGGTATCTGAAAATGCTCTGGGAGGGCAAACAACATCAGCCAACAGCTGCCCCCAGGGTGAGGACTTCGCCCAGCTGCTTTTGTGAACAAGTGCTGGAAAAAAGAACAGCACCCACACAGGGCTTTCTCTGTCGACATACAGCCTTTTGTTAAAGTAAGTCTTACTGTGGGTCTGATCCTCGGGATGAGACCTCTGCCTTTTGCAGTCCAAGTGACAAGGAGCCAGTGCTGCGTAGCTGTTGGACTGCCTACACCTGTGAAGGCGATGATGCCGATGAGGCTGAAAGTGGAGCAGCTGACCCATGAATCAGACCTTCCCCGTTCTAGCCTTACGACTTGTGTTGTTTTTTATTTTATTAATTAATTAATTAATTTATTATTCTTTTGCGGTACACGGGCCTCTCACTGTTGTGGCCTCTCCCACTGCGGAGCACAGGCTCCGGATGTGCAGGCCCAGCGGCCATGGCTCACGGGCCCAGCTGCTCCATGGCATGTGGGGTCTTCCCGGACCGGGGCACGAACCCGTGTCCCCTGCATCGGCAGGCGGACTCTCAACCACTGCGCCACCAGGGAAGCCCTTGTTGTTGTTTTTTAGAATGTGTTCCCCATTATGCTAGGTTTTGGATGGGACGTTAAAGAACAGTTCTTTCCTTAGGGCAATTTGTGTTTCCTATGTATTTGGCCCCATCTTTGTGTGCTTCCTGAGCACACAGCCGGTTCTCCAGGTAATTAAATTCCTGCAGCAGAGAGAGATTGTTGTCTTTCAGGCTGTGATTTTAAATATTTTTTAAGGTCTTCTTAAAAGTCACAGGTCCTAAACCTTTTGTTTTCTTTATCTAAAGAGATATATTTTAATCCTGTATTTCTAGTTCACCCTATGTATTTTCTCATTCTTTGTTCTTCACTTGCGTTCAGGAGACCTGCTTTTAGGACCTACACAATTTATTTCCTTCTCTAATCTCTGGCTACCAGTTTATTATTATTATTATTTACTTATTTATTTTTTGGCCATGCTGTGCAGCTTGTGGGATATTAGTTCCCTGACAAGGGATTAAACCTGGGCCCTCAGCCGTGAAAGCGCAGAGTCCTAACCACTGAACGGCGAGGGAATTCCCTGGCTACTGTTCTTTAAAAAATAAGTTTATTTATTTATTTCTGGCTGTGTTGGGTCTTTGTTGCTGTGCGTGGGCTTTCTCTAGTTGCGGCAAGAGGGGGCTACTCTTTGTTGCGGTGCGCGGGCTTCTCATTGCGGTGGCTTCTCTTACTGTGGAGCATGGGCTCCTAGGCGCGCGGACTTCAGTAATTGTGGCACACGGGCTCAGTAGTTGTGGCACACAGACTTAGTTGTTCTGCAGCATCTGGGATCTTCCCAGACCAGGGCTCGAACCTGTGTCCGCTGCATTGGCAGGTGGATTCTTAACCACTGTGCCACCAGGGAAGTCCCTGGCTACCGGTTTTTAATAGAAAAACATTATAGAACTTAGAGTTAAGCACCACTTTTCCTTCCAAACCCAGCTTAAACTGAGCTGTCAAATCAGGAGTTCTCTAGCTGCTTCGTACCTGCTTATTCCTTACCTTTGTTGTTTACGTCATTGGTTTACACCTTTGCCTGCACATTTGGAATGATCTGGAAGACTAAGAAATACCGGGGCCCACCCCCAGAGATTTTGATG